AGGCGCGGACCTCTGCCCTGACTGTGCCGTCTGTTAACCTCCTGGTATTCTGTGCCTGGCGTGCGGATGCCCCTCGCTTGGCAATGTGTCCGTCTTTATCAGTGGCAGAGCCAGAAAATCCTAATGGGGGGCCAGTCGATTACCAATTTACATTGAGGAGTGGCCGAAAGGCATCAGAACCTCGGGGTCAATCTACACTGGTCCAACAGGAACGAGCACAACAGTGGAAGCCCCCTACACAATTGTGGATTACGACATATCTTTGCAGATGTAATGTGCGAAAAATTCTTCTTAAACCCACCTGACACTAATATAACTGATCGGACCTTATTTATACCCCAACACATGCCAGATTTCAACATGATGGTGAGCTGTTTAAACACGACACCAATAGCAAAGCAGACAGTGGAACTTCAATAACTATGTAAATAACTGTGTATAGTTCATTAGACGGTTGGTAAAAAATACACTCATATAATATGTTTCAAACCGCAGTAAAGATTTTAAAAGAACAATGTATTTCAGTATTTTATTTTTTACACTACAACTGGGAATTATGCGTAATCCAGAGTGTAGATTAAAACCATAACCTTTGCGTACAATGTTTTAGCAACCATCATCTTTAATGTTTGTATATTCATGTGCATAATTAATTTTATTATTATAATTCTGTTTTCAAGTAGTTGTTAATATATGAAAAATTTCAATGTTTAATAAGTTTGAACATTCCCCTTCAGAGTATTACTGCTGCCACCGTCTGTATTAGAGGTAGGGGTGGCCAATGATTGGCTAAGGGTGGCCATGGGCACCCCTGGCCCTCCATCTAGCTCTGCCCCTGCTCTTTATCCCCTGCAGGATCAGCTCCCCTCTCCTTCCATCAAGCTTCTTTTATTTTTGCTTCAATCAGCCTCTGCTGACACCAGTGCGCAGCATTTGCTTGTTAGTTCACCCCGCCTCCTTAGACAACAGACTTCAGCCCAAAGTGCTTGGATTGTTAAACGGTGAACATAAACAACCAAAACAATCCAAACATAATTTATAATGCATGCACTTTTATTTATGTATTTATCTTAGTAATTTTATTAATATAATAAATGTTTATTAATATTGTTGATATAAATATTTTGTTTTAAAAACAACAACAATGTGTTAGGTTCAATAGGCGATGTTCATTATAATATGTTTTAATAAACATTTAACCAGTACGTCTCTCAGCTTGTAGCAAATTTGTTTTTTTTTGGCCCTTTGTGTATTTGACTTTGACATCCCTGGTTTAGAGGTCTGTTCGTTTTTACTTTGTAGCAACATGAGAAATTGACACGCAAGGAAATGGGGTTCTGGTCAGAGGACGGCGTATTAATGGTCAACATACAAAATGCTGTATTGAGAGGAAAACTAAAACTCCACCCTAAATCTACCTTTCATATGAAAAACTGTGATGATGGCAGCATCATGCTGTGGGAACACTGTTTCAACTCAGGAACAAGGTGGTTTAAGAGAATTCAGAGAACTTTTACTGGTGTCTACATTAGTTTTTGCTCTTTTATTATGTGTTTGCAGACAATAGGAACATATCAAACAATGCATGTTTTCCCTCAGAAAAAAATAAATTTTGAATAATTAATTAATTTTTTTGATAATAATAATGAATATATATACAGTTTAACAGTTGCTGAATAATCAATGTGAAATTGTTTAAGTTTACAGTTGTACAATCAAAGCCTTGTATGACCCATAAGCAAATCATATTGATCATTAGTAATGTAATAAAAAAATCTAGAGAGAAATCAGTGTGACTTCACGAATCACAAGTTTGAAGATCCTCATAGTCAAGTGACTCTAATATATTCCAACCATCTGCCAAGTAAGGACTGAAAGACACAGCTTGAAAAATAAAGTATTTTGTCATGCATGCAAAAAGGGGATGTTGAAAAGCACTGAACATTTTTTTATTTCAGTTGTTTCCTCCTTAAAAAAAAAAAAATATATATATATATATATATATATATATATATATAAAAAAGCTTCTCAAAAATAATTTGCGAACTTACAAAACACAAGTCAAAACTTTCCTTATGTTCACTCTTTCTTTGCAGAAGTCCTTTTTTGATGGGTTTTTGGGCCTGAGAAAAACAAATAATCAAAGTAATTTTTATTAAGTCTAGGAATCAAAATATCTTTATCGGGCCAAATATTTCAACAGCAAATGTTTGTTAAGTAACAATAAGAAACAGATTTTATCTCAAAAAGTAATAAGATCATAAATTATGGTTTTCAGTTGGTTCATAGCAAGTAATACACTTCCATTATATCATTCAGTGTATTAAACCAAGATGTTTTACAAACCGTCAGTATTTATTTTATGATGTGTTCATCTTTTCCTTGTTCCCTCATTCAGGTTTGTTTTAGATGCAGGTAATCTAAATAAACAGAGGGACCCAAACACTGCTTTTTTTGAGTTTGAATATTATGTATTAGTTTCTTTGAAGCTGATGTTTAGAAGCGGTGGGATGGATGTTTTCACGTCCTTATCAAAAACACATGCATGGAAGTACATGACATTATCTCATCATCCTGCTACAGCCCTTAAGGCCTGTGCAAATCAGCTATGTAGGATTATGCAGCACTTTGTCAATTGAGCTAAGAGAAGGTTCCATTACCACGGAAGACATCCTGCCTTGTCTCAGTACAAACAAAAACTAATCAGTCAGTCCTCAATGACTATAGATTTGTTGCCCTGACATCCGAAAACATAAACGTCATGGAAAGGTTTCTGCTGCCTCACCTAAGCTTATTTCAGTGGAGCTGAAATTGAAGGCCATTATACATCTGATAAGTCAAACCCACTGTCACAAACAAAGCAGACATTTCAGCAAAACTCCTGTTTACTGATGTCTCAATGACATTTAACACGTTTCAGCCCAATTTTGTTACGTTGAAAACTCCAAAAGATACAAGTGGAGGCCTTAAATATTATCTGGATGGACGATAACCCGGGAAACAGACCAACCATGTTTAAACAGGTACTTAAGGAGCACTAGATGGGACTACATTTTTAATCTTTATATTTCAGAGTTTTAGTTATATTCAGAGTTCTGTAATCTGCAGACCTACTCTTATCACTCTGCAATCATCAGATGTATTAAGGATGCACAAGATGCTGAGTATGTTTATTTCAGGGTGAAACAGAAAAAGATCAACCATCATTCCCATCATGGTAGAACAGGATGGGGTGGTGCAGCAGTATAAATACCTCAGTCTTTACCATGAGCTGTGAATGGTAAAGGTGAAGCCACAAGAACAGAGTCAGCATGCTGCATTTCTTAAAAAGCATCAGAGTTTGCAGAGAGATGCTGCAGATCTCCTAAGTCATCGTCTTCCGTGGTAGCAGCATCAGAAGCAGGATGTTAAGAAAGCTCAACAAGCAGATAAAATCTGTTCTGGTATCTGCTATTGAACTGCAGAAAACTTGCAAAGGAAGATTTGTAAATTGAAGGATATTATCTGCAACCCTAATGACCCTCCTAGGAGAATATATTAATGCAACATTTTGTTGCTCGTTCAAAGCATTTTCCTAAAAAAGCTGCTTTCTTTGCTCAAATTGGAGTAGGAAAAGTCCAACTTGGGTGAGAGTAATATTTCAGAGCCATATAGAGGATGCAGCATAATTTAAAGTTGCGTTTGTTTTAAATGAGCTGGACTGGCTGGACTTCCTACTTTCATATAAAGGCCAACAGTGCCAAAAATAACAAACTGGACTCCTGAAAAGGCATTATTTGGTGACCTCTCACTGATCTGAATTGAAGAAATTTGACTCTTTAAAAAAAAAAAAAAAAAAAAAAGGCTTATTAAAAGAGTACATTTTTTCAGTTTCCAGACAGGGGCTAAATGTCATTTTAGTAAGTAAGCTTTTCTTAAATTTGAGTACATTTTAGACACATTTTCTGTCTAGTGTCTTGAATCAAAGGCTGGGTCCTTTCACATTTTTAAGTAATTTCAAATAGTCTGACTATAAATGTGTAACAAAATTTTTTCTGATGTAGTTTGTAAGAAAATATGTGAATATTATTTTCTCTTTCTTCAACACGTATGTGTTTTAGACCTAACAGAACAATGTAGAGGTCCCCTCGACTCTTCCGGGTTGTTTGCTCATGTTAAGGACACAGTTTTAGATTACACTAAAATAATCTACTTATAAGAGAGACTAAAGCTAATGATGATCATTACTCTTGAAGAAAAAAAACATACCCTTTTTGGGTGAAAGGCACCCAGGCAGAGTGAATTATTAACAGAATATTTTCCAAAGAGAAAACAACGTTAAATTGATCATAATCTGATTAATGCAGACATCAAGTCCAGTTTTTGACTTGCAGCTCAGGGGATGGGAATAAATTATGTTTTTGTTTTTTTCTAAAACACCACCCTAAACAACTAACAACAAAAAATAATACATAGAAATTCAAAATCTAATAAATATTTCTTATATATGTTGTGGGTCGAAGTTAACAATGGCATTGGATCAAATAAAATGGTTGGATGTGTGGAAACTTCCTGTGCCTGAAGATTTTTATTTGCTGCTGAGCCAGTTTATCTGCCAGGCCTTCCACTAACGTGGCACTCTTTAACTTGAAGTTAAACACAAACGCGTCCCTGTGTCACAGCCATGAGGCGGGGTATCAATAATCACGCTACTCTTTGACGTAACAGCGCGTACGAGGGTACGTTCACGTACCCTGGGAAATAAGGCTTTCACTTTTGGATGATCAAAATCCGTATTGCACTTCAAAATTAAAGCTTAAAGTGGACTCAAACAAATAATAAACCATTTTTGTTTCAGTCATAATTGAAATAATTTATTTTACTATTAAACTAGTTAGTATTTAAGTATTTTTACGGTAATATGCTGTCTTAATTATATAATTTTTGCAGTTTCATTCTTTTATTCTGAAGACATGCATCCTGTAAATTGTCTACTAATGGGTTACTTTATTCTCCTCCACGTTTACCAGGAAGTAAAGACTTTATGTCTCAAATAAATCCTTTTTTCAAATGAGCAGACTGATAAACGCCTCATTTTACGTCTCCGTTGACCAGATTCACGAAAATACTTTACCTGCAGCAACATTTCGCCGCATTTATACTGAAACACTCAGTAAGTAGCCTATTTTACAAGCAGATTTAACAATGTTTTGGAAAATAGTTCAATATTTGGCAGATTAAGTTAACATTTGAATGCTTAAGCTGTTTAGGGTTTGATCTTTCAGCCTTTTGTTTATCTTTGTTCAATTTCGAAGTAGATCTTCGGTATAAACTGTAAGAGTAACTGCTAATGCAAATTAATAAACATATTTTTTAATCGATTTTAGTTTTATTTTTTCAGTTTGATGAAGAAAATTATACAAAAAAGAAAAAGGGAAACTGTTGGATGCATTATTTGTGAGCAAATGAATAAACTGATAATAACAAAATAAGAGATGTACTAATAATATGCAGTTTTTGTTGGGTGAATAAGATAAACAGGTAAGCAGCCTATTTTACAAGCAGATTTAACAATGTTTTGGAATATAGTTCAATATTTGGCAGATTAAGTTAACATTTGAATGCTAAAGCAGTATATGGTTTGATCTGTCAGCCTTTTGTTTATCTTTGTTCAGTTTGGAAGTCGATCTTCGGTATGAACTGTAAGAGTAACTGCTAATGCAAATAAATAAATATCTTTTTTAAATGATTTTAGTTTTATTTTTTTCAGTTTCCTGAAGAAAATGATACAAAAAAGAAAAAAGGAAACTGATGGATGCATTATTTGTGAGCAAATGAATAAATGGATAATTACAAAATAAGAGATTTACTAATGAAATGTATTTTTTGATCAGGGAATAAGATAATCAGGCTCCCTTTTTTATAATACAATACCTACTGCTGACGTATTGCTTTGTATAGTTTACTGCTGTGTCCTGCAGTTGGACAGGTTCTTGACGTGGAACAATACAGGTGTGTCCCACTGCTATTTAACTCCTATTAAAGGGGTGTGTTTAGAAGAAAAGACAGATTGTAATCTTTGACATCCATCTACTGAGTGACCTTGATTACCTTTTGGTAGGTTGCAGGCCCTCAGGATGCCGGAGAAGGTGCTGGTCACAGGTGGAGCTGGTTACATAGGGAGTCACTGTGTGGTGGAACTGATCGAAGCGGGATACCAGCCGGTGGTGGTGGATAACTACAGCAATGCTGTCCGAGGTGAGCTCCACTTCTTTTAGGGAATATTGAAAACATTTCAGTGATCTAAGGTCTGTTGTCTTTGTGTGTTGATGGAGGAGAGGGGAATGTGGCAGAGAGCATCCGAAGGATAGAGAAGATCCTTAAAACCAGCATTGAATTTCATGAGCTAGACCTTCTGGATCGACCTGCACTGGAAGAGCTCTTCAAAAAGGTCGGAAGTTTGTCAGTGATGAAACTCAGAGGATTAGTTTACAGAAGACATGTCAGGATCTGTATAATTGGCAAGGATTTTTTTATTTGTTTTTTTAAAGCTGAGGGATATTTGATTGCATTACTATTGCTACAAATTGCATAAAAGATCATGATTACGACTAAACTACAATTTTTGGTCAGTATAGTTTATTAACACTCTGACATTCTAAAGTGTTTCCATTAATATAAGCAGATCATTAAAGCCCAACAAATGAATATTATATGCTGGGGAAGATTCTCAGTCATCGAGGTCATAGTCATTCCAAAAAAGCAAAAATAAAACGCCCCCTGGACTTGTTTTCCAAGATTGAAGATGTCTCTCTCCCATCAATTTATTTTTATTTTTATTGAATTGAATATTTTGAACTGACAAAGCTTTCTGGATGGGAAGCAAAACCTCTTCAAGCCTGAATATTATAATTTTCCCAGGCTCTACATCTAAGCTCTCTCTTGTCAGAGATTTGGGAGTCAAGCTGAACTTTAATAAGCATGATTATTGTAATAACTTCCATACAAATGATATATTTTACATATATACATTTATTTTATAATAGTTGCTACAATCACTCAACTGCATTTGCTTAAAATTAAAATCTAAAATGAAAAGATTCCATCAGTAAAAGTGCTATAAATTCCAAGTATCTGCTTGAAATATTTAGATGATGTTCTTATTTGGATGTTTGATTCTTAACTGTAAGTGTGAATCCTGTGTACAGCACTCCTTCAGTGCTGTGATGCACTTTGCTGGACTGAAAGCAGTCGGGGAGTCGGTGGAACAGCCGCTGCGTTACTACAGAGTCAACCTCACGGCTTCCATGAACCTGCTCGAGGTTGGTTTCATCTTTTGTCATTTCATGTCACACAGCCAGCCTCCTTTCACCCTGCAACCTTCTTCATCCTGCTCTACTCGCAACATCATTTGCACTAATCCTCACCTTTGTTTGCCGAGTGCACGACATCTGCTATTCTATGCTCAGCTCCTTGCAAAGCTATTCTTACCCCTGCACTTATCCAAACGTTGTCAACACAAAGCCGTGCATTGTAAAAGACTCAGAATGTAGGGCCCAGACTTCGAGGCGGGAGAGATAGTGGGATAGTTCAAAAAGTTTAATAAAAATAAACAGAACAGAAGTGAACTGTTAGCAGCTGCGGGGGGAGGCAGGCACCATCCATCACTGGCATTCTGGTTTGGGAAAAACACAGGTAAGTGACCACGATAATTTGACAGAAGATGATTATTAATGTGAGTCACTTACCTGGTTTGAGCACTTCAGTCCATCCTCTTAGAGTAAGGCAGGATCCACCCAATGTAATGCCAAAGAGATGCAGCGGGAGCCGCCCAGCAACAGCAGCAGCCTGACCCCGAAATTCCACATCCTCCGCCTCCGCTCCACCTCCCTGCGCTCCAGACTGCCTGTGCAAAGCAAAGCCTACAGCCTCTGCTTTTCCTCCCGTCTTGCTCAGCTCAGACTTCCTCGGAGCTCGAGGAAAGCATGCGCGATATTACTGTTAAATTCATAGGAGCAAAACATGTGGAAACGAACAATGAATTTAATATGACATATTAAAGAAATCCCCATCAGCATCCAGCATATGTTCAATTTCTGCCCAAATATTTTCTTTTTGTGGTGGATTTTTGTAACAGGGATAACTAGGATCATACAAAACTGTTTTTTTTTTAATGAACTATGTCTGTTCTCTATTTCCAAACTCAGCATGTCTTCATCCATGCCTGCAATAAGGGATTTCTTTTAACTGGATTTGATTATACGTTTAAGCCTCTGGGTATAAAATAAATATTTTGATTTAGATGAGAAATTTGCTTCCTGGTATGTTGAAGTACCAATAGTTTGCATCCAATCATTTAATTAAACGGCCTTAGTTTTGGGGAATTTATAAGGATTATGCTCTAATTTATAGTTGCCAATCCATCGTTATTATATTTTTATTTGACAAACCGGATCTTGACCTGGCCAGACCAGGTCCTTTGCCGCATGTCTCTCAATGTCTCTCATATCCCGTCTCCTGTAAGCCTACTGTCGAAAATACAAGCCACTAGAGCCGCACACCCCCAAAAAAAACGTTAAAAGAAGGACTACAAAAGATTAGAAAGCAGGAAAGCAGGGATCATAGTAAAGTGTTTATTAATGTAGATTTACAAAGCTGAATGCTTTTCTTTCCAAAAAAAATTTCAGCAGTAATTAAAAATTAAGCAGTTTCTGCAAAGGACAAGTTTAGGTTGGACTCATTGTGAATAAAATTCACATTTATGCAATTATCACAACAAGAGATTATTGACATTTTGGTTTGGAATATAAAATAAAAGCGTTTTCGCATATCTGCTAAGTCAGCCTTTCTGCTCATTCGCTGTTTATGTGCTTTTGTACCAGCCTGCTAACTGTAAGCATGTGCCATTTTTCTTTTTCTGTGCATCATCATGTGCCTCAGGTGATGCAGGCTCACAACGTGAACAATCTGGTCTTCAGCAGCTCTGCCACAGTCTATGGTGACCCCCAGCACCTCCCCATAGATGAGCTGCACCCTGTTGGAACGTGCACCAATCCCTACGGCAAGACCAAGTACTTCATCGAAGAGATGATCAAAGATCACTGTAAAGCTGAAAAGGTAGTCGTGGGTTGAAAGCCTTTCAGAAAAAGAGCAGGTTGCTCCTCACAGGATGTTTGAATGTTGCTGCTATGTGTGCAGGGATGGAATGCTGTGCTTCTGCGTTATTTCAACCCCATCGGAGCTCATTCCTCAGGTGTGATTGGAGAGGACCCCCAGGGCATCCCCAACAACTTGATGCCTTATGTTGCTCAGGTAAATGCAAAACAACTAGCTCTTTGGGTTGAATTCAATCATCTCATCTTACTGATATATATATATATATATATATATATATATACATATTTGGTTTGTTTTTTTTATCCATGTAGGTAGCAGTTGGGAGGAGACCATTTCTCAGTGTATTTGGAAATGACTACGATACAGTCGATGGGACCGGTAAAGTATATATCTATTAGGCATTTATAATTAAGTATTCAGAATCATGCAACTTTTCCTTCATCTTTTGTAGGTGTTCGGGATTATATCCATGTTGTAGATCTGGCAAAGGGACATATAGCAGCTTTGAAAAAGCTAAAGGATAACTTTGGATGCAAGGTGATTTTCAGAATTATTTATTTTCTCATCTTATATAGTTTATTTTTCCAGTATCTGTGTTTAACATGTTTTCTCCTTTATTGTTTAGGCATACAATCTTGGAACAGGAAGAGGCTACTCTGTTCTCCAGATGGTTAAAGCAATGGAGAAAGCTTCAGGAAAAGAGGTTAGTTATAAAACTGCTTCTTCTCTCTCTAAAAACAGAATAATGCTTTTTTCTATCATGTTTTGAATGATTTAACATACAGTATGTTATCCAATAAGTAGTAGAGAAATATGTCCTCTGTGTCTCTTTTATTTCTTTTAGAATAAATGGCATAATTTCTTCCTTCATTTATTGATGTTATTGCTTTTTCTGTTGTAGATAAATTACAAGATTGCACCTCGTCGTGAAGGTGATATAGCGTCCTGCTATGCTGACCCCAGCCTAGCTGAGAAAGAGCTTGGCTGGAAGGCTGCATTTGACTTGGAAAGGATGTGTAAGTGGAGCGCCCATCAGTCTCATTATGACATCTCTTTATAGCGTTATGCAATATTGGTTTATTTGTTGTTTTGCAAAAGAATCATTGAAGCTGTGTTAGTTCGTCACGCTAAAGCCTCAACTTTCAACATATTTTATTTGGGATTTGATGAGAATAAAATGTGTATGTGTATATATGTGTGTGTGTGTGTGTGTGTGTGTATATATATATATATATATATGTGTATATGTGTGTGTGTATATATATATATATATATATGTGTA